GTGCCTCGGGTAGAGCGGGCTCGAATCCCGGACGCCCGGTACCCTGTAACGTTTCTCCCCTTCCCCAGTGGCGGGAAACACGAGCCAGATCCTTGCCTGGAGCCAGCCCCAGGCCGCCGGGTGGCCATGCGGAGCCTGCCATCGAACGGAGAGCTGGACCCCGACGTCCTGGAGAGCATGGCTTCGCTGGGCTGCTTCAGGGACCGGGAGCGGCTGCACCGCGAGCTGCGGAGCGAGGAGTAAGGCCCCCTGTTTCAGGGACGCACACCAGCTGGCTGACATCCGGCCAGCCGGCCGCAGAGCCCCAACCAGCCAGCGGAGGACGCTCTCGCGCCTCGCGCCGGTGCAGACTCCGTGGGGCGTGGCGCCCGGCCGCTAGAGGGGGCGTGGCTTAGAGTTCCCACGTGGAGCTGTTCCCAGAGCAACCAGGAGGGGGGCGGTAGGACGCGGGGCGGCGTGGGGAGGCAAGATGTTGCAAAGTATCAGTAGGTGGTGAGACCCACGTGGTGCCCCACGGAGTGCTTGCAAATAGCAAGTGCTCGATTATTCTGAACTGTCACGGCTGAGTCAAGTAAGGGTCCGGTGTGCACCGACAAAAAGTCTCACCGTGTCCATGCCTAGGAAGAGGGAAGCATGGGCACAGATACCGGCGTACCAGGCCCCTGAGAGCCACAGCTACAGGGAGGGGGTGAGACCTCTGGAGCCCGACTCCTGACCCCAGGCCTCTCCCACCTCCTCCCTCCCTTCCCCATCAGGGAGAACCAAGAAAAGATGATATATTATCTGCTTCTGGATCGGAAGGAGCGGTATCCCAGCTGTGAGGATCAGGACCTGCCTCCCCGGAATGATGTCGGTGAGAAGGCAGGGCTGGGGGTCCAGACCCCAGACTCTGGAGCAGGGGAAGGGGCTGCAGGCCTTAGTGTCTGGGTTTTTGCTTTTGTTTTGTTCAAGATTTTGAGAGAGAGATATTATTATTTATTTGAGAGAGAGAGAGAGATTGAGCACCAGCAGAGTGAGGGGCAGAGGGAGAAGCAGGCTCCCCGCTGAGCAGGGAGCCCAATGCGGAACTCGATCCCAGGACCCTGAGATCATGACCTGAGCCGAAGGCAGACCCTCAACCGACTGAGCCCCCCAGGCCCCCCTAGCTTCCGGGTTGAGGCTCCCTGACCCGCTTTGTGACCTTATCAAAAGTCTCCGCTCTGGACCTCCGTTTCCCACCTGTGCGAGTGCCATGTACAGGTAGGTGAAGATGGCTTCTGACTGGCTTGAAACTCTCCGCCCTCAGACCCGCCTCGGAAACGTGTGGATTCCCCCATGCTGAGCCGACACGGGAAGCGGCGGCCAGAGCGGAAGTCCATGGAAGTTCTGAGCATCACGGATGCTGGGGGCGGTGGCTCCCCAGTGCCCACCCGCCGGGCTCTGGAGATGGCCCAGCACAGTCAGAGGTGAGAGCCCCTGGCCCTCCCGCGGGTCAACAGCTCTGGTGGGTGGGGAGGGGGTTCAGGGTTCTAGCCCCAGCTCCACCTCAGGGGCCCCTCTCAGGGCCTCAAGTCCTCATCGCAAAGGTGTGTGGAAGGAAAAGGACATCTGAGCCTTGAGAAACCCACACACCTGATCTAAAAACAAAACAAAACAAAACAATCTCTCCTGGAAACAGATCCCGTAGTGTCAGTGGAGCCTCCACCGGTCTGTCCTCCAGCCCTCTCAGCAGCCCACGGGTAAGCCCCGATTCATTAAGAAGGGGTAAAGGGGTGAACACTGGACCGGAAACTACAATTCCCAAGAAGTTTTGAGGCATTGCCTCTTTGTCCCTGAAGGACCCCCAATCCCATTTTAGTGCATTGTGCATTTCCACCTCCGATGGGATCGGGCTTTTAGTGTTTCAAGGGTTCCTTTATGTGCTTAACAAAAGCTAATTGAGCGCCTACTGTGTACCAGTCATTGTGCTACAGCAGTGAGCATGATAGAAAAAGTCCCTGTCCCCTAAAAAGGGTGCGGGGTGCGGGGGCCCGGGTGGGTAATAATTGGACTACAAGTTCCAGCATGCGTCGGGACCCATCTCTGTGAGTATGGGCCTATGGGGTTCCTAAAGGCTCCTGGGAGTTGTAGTCCGCCATCTCACCCAGCTCCCCTCTTCCACAGAGTCCTGTCTTTTCCTTCTCACCGGAGCCCGGAGCCGGAGATGAGGCTCGGGGCGGGGGCTCCCCGACTTCCAAAACGCAGACGCTGCCTTCTCGCGGCCCCAGGGGTGGGGGTGCCGGGGAGCAGCCTCCGCCCCCCAGTGCCCGCTCCACACCCCTGCCTGGACCCCCAGGCTCCCCGCGCTCCTCTGGGGGCACCCCTTTGCATTCACCCCTGCACACACCCCGGGCCAGCCCCACTGGGACGCCAGGAACAACGCCACCCCCAAGCCCCGGCGGTGGCGTCGGGGGAGCTGCCTGGAGGAGTCGTCTCAACTCCATCCGCAACAGTTTCCTGGGTTCCCCTCGCTTTCACCGGCGCAAGATGCAGGGTACGGGGTCCCCCAAGGTGCAAGGGTTGGGGGCCTAGATTCCAGTGTGGTGTGAGAAGATGGGGCTGGGAGTAGAAATTCAGGTGTTGGGGACAGGGGGTGTGGCTTCCAGCGCTGGAGGAAGGAGGAGCCTTTCTGAAGGACACCCCCATTCAGTGCCTTGGCTCATCTTCCCATTGGCTCGTGGTGAGAAAGTTCCGCCCTCGGAGGGCGTGGTCTACCTGGGGTGGGCCGGCGTCCCCAGCAGGACCACCAGGTAGCATGCTATGTGGGCTTTAGCTACTGGGAGGTGAATGGGCATGGGGATCTGGCACCTCTAGTTGGAGGGGACTCCTGGCCCGCGTGCTGGACCCAGGGTGATGGGCAAGTGTTAACCATACTCTCCCCTCTCTCCCTCTCTTACCGCATGCCAGTCCCCACTGCCGAGGAGATGTCCAGCTTGACACCAGAGTCCTCTCCAGAGTGAGTCTGACAGGGAAGGGAAGCCAGAGGTTGGAGGGAGGGATTTATTCCTAGAGCCCCCTCCTGACCCACCTCCAACCCTCCCCTTTCACTCAGGTTGGCAAAACGCTCCTGGTTTGGGAACTTCATCTCCTTGGACAAAGAAGAACAAATATTCCTTGTGCTGAAGGACAAACCTCTCAGCAGCATCAAAGCGGACATCGTCCATGCCTTCCTGTCGGTGAGGGGCCTGGGTCTCCCTGTGTCCCGGCCAGCACAGGACTACAAATCCCAGCATCCCCTGGAGTCTGCCTCTGCTCCGGCCTGACTTCCTCCTGAGGCTCATGGGATCTGTAGTTTTCCGTTCAGAGTTGGGTTGGGTCACTGTAGGGGCAGGGAGGTGGAGAGGTTTACTGGGCCCTGGGGCCTGGAGATGGTGCAAAGGACACCTCCCTAGAGTATTAGTGAGTTGCCATTCCCTGACCACCAGGTCTGAGATTACCAGATAGAATCGCTTTTTCCCCAAGGACCTCTGGGTTTTTGCTCTAGGAGCTAATGGGACTTACAGGTTCTTACATATATGTGGCAATGCTCACGGAGGCAGAGAAGTTTGCGTCATGTAATTCTGGAGCCTGAGGCTGACCCCTAGATGTGACAGGTCCGGTTACCAGCCATTCCTCTGATGCCGTTTATAGTGGGACAAGAAAACTACAAGTCCCAGCAGGCAATGGGGGCTCCCAATTGCTTTCCTGTTATTCTTTCCCCCTAGTGGCTGATGGAACTTATAGTTCCTTGGGCAGAGGTCTTTGTGGGGTTGGCTATCCAGTCCCTGGAATCAGGTCACTGGAATCACCCCCTCCTTTTGTCCCCTGCCTGTCTCAGATCCCCAGCCTGAGTCACAGTGTGCTGTCACAGACCAGCTTCAGGGCCGAGTACAAGGCCAGTGGTGGCCCATCCGTCTTCCAGAAGCCCGTCCGATTCCAGGTGGACATCAGCTCCTCAGAGGGCCCAGAGCCTTCCCCACGACGGGATGGCAGTGGCGGTGGTGGCATCTACTCGGTCACCTTTACGCTCATCTCCGGTAAGCTTCCCTCGATGAGAGACTGCCTCCACCCTGGTGTGTGGAATGCTCAAGACAGCTGAGCTGGGAGAGTGGCCCCAGAGGGCAGCAGGAGGGAGGAGGAGATGGTGCTCAGCTAGCGCTGACCCTATGAGCCCCCTCCTCATTCAGACCCCTGCATTCTGTTCTTCCCCCTTCTCTCATTGACATTTCATGGATTTTTTTTTTTTTAAGATTTTATTTATTTATTTGGAAGAAAAACAGGTCACAAGTCAGGGGGAGGAGCAAAGGGAGAAGCAGACTCCCCACTGAGCAAAAGCCCAATGCGGGGCTTGATCTCAGGACCCTGGGATCATGACCTGAGCCAAAGGCAGACACTTAGTGGACTGAGCCACCCAGGTGCCCCTTCATGGACATTTATGATGTTTCACGTGCTTTACGTGCATTGTTACATTGACGCTTCCCAGAGGCCTTTGAGGTATTAGTGCTCACCCACTTTACAGAAGAGAAAACAGAGTCCTATTGAGGCAAATTGACTTGACACAGTCCCACTGCAAACTGACGAAGCTGGGCTCAACCTAGCCCTGCTGACCTTGAAGTGCAGAGCTGACTGTACAGCCAAAGGGCAGACGGGGCTCTCTGCCATCCCGTGTCATTCCCGCACCCAGAGCAGACAGCACCAGGTGATCACGGCACTTCTTCCTGCTGGGCTCATCGGCAGCCTCAGAAATTACAGGCAGCCATGACCAATCAGCATTCAGCACCAGAGACCGGAGCCACAGAAATGTCTTGCGGCCAGTCCAGCTTGGTTCCTGAGCCATGATAGTGAGTCCGAGTAACAAGAGACAGTTGTGTCTGCTACCCTTGTTAGCAGTCTTAAACGTCACAGTGACCAGCCTGCCACAATGTTACCCCTAAGATGAAATAAGTTGCATTTTTCCCCCTTTCCTTTAAAGGCTAATAGGCAGGACTTCCTCAATTTTAAGATTTTTTTTAACTTCCTGTTTATTTTTCTTATATTTCTGGCTCTTCGTGGCCTCAGCTGGAAACTAACACGATAAATAGAAAGCCACACCCATCATTATTTTAACTCCAATCTTTCTCATCCCATTTGCAAATCGCGGGTCTATACCTAGTCCCAACACAGGGCCTGAAATTGAGCCCAAGAGGAGGCGAGTCCTTTGCTGGTTTCCACAGGGTGGGAGGGCCTTTTCTGTCTCTGTCCCCAAGTCAGCCCATCTCCTTCCCCTCCAGGTCCCAGCCGTCGGTTCAAGCGAGTGGTGGAGACCATCCAGGCGCAGCTGCTGAGCACTCACGACCAGCCCTCCGTGCAGGCCCTGGCAGGTGGGTGGCGTCCGAAGCCGTGGGGCCCTCCTTTATCCTGTGGGCCAGAGGGGCGACCTGCTGAGCAAGGGCCCCAGGGCTTTGGTCCATGGCAAGGATCGCAGATTCTCAAGAGAGGCTGGGGCCTGAGCTCCGTCCAGGGCATGGGCCATCCCGACCTGAGAAGCCCTTGTGGCCAGGGAGGGCACCTCCAGGGACCCCCAGAGGGTGCCTAGTCTCTGTGTGGGGTTGTGGAACTTCCTGCTAAGGAAGGTTCTGGAACAGTGTTCTAGAGACGGGCAAGCAGCCCTCCGGGTTTGTTCAGATCCCCCAAACAACCCCCTGTAAGGCTCCCCTGTGCCCTTTCGCTAAGGAGCATTCCCCTAACAACCAGGGTAGCAGAAGGAGACCTTTGGCTGTGATCTGGGGTCTCGAATGAGATCTGCTGCTGTGACAAGCTGTCCCTTAGCGAATAATGTCATAGCCAGAGTCTGTGACAGTGCCCCTGGAGTCAGGCCTCTGGGTCTCACTGGGACTAACTTGGCCCGGTTTCCAAAGCCACGAGGTCTGGAGGGGTCCAGGATGTATGACCTGCTGTCTGTGACCTTGCTGGGTCTGGTTGCAAATGGGTGTCCTCCTGGCAGCCGTCCCCCCAGGCTTCCAGCCCCGGGACGGAGGCCCTTGGCCTCCCCACGATGTTGCTGGAACATGTTCCTTGGGGTTCGGCAGCCTCGAGGTTCCTGATGCCGCACTGCTTCCTCCTCCACAGATGAAAAGAACGGGGCCCAGACTCGGCCTGCTGGCACCCCACCGAGAAGCCTACAGCCCCAAGCCGGCCGCCCAGACCCAGAGCTGACCAGCTCTCCCCGCCGAGGCCCTGCTAAGGACAAGAAGCTCCTGGCCACCAACGGGACCCCTCTGCCCTGACCCCAGGGGGCCAGGGAAGGAGGGGAGTCCCCTCCACCCCCCTTCCCTGCCCCCCAACTGTGAATCTGTAAATAGGGCCCATGGAGTATGTAGGGAGGGGAGAGACACAACAAACCCGGCCTTGCCCTGCAGGGATGGGGCTCAGGGGGCCGTGCCCAATGGGGGGTGGTTCTAGGGGGGACTGAGGGCGGGGGAGCTGTTTCTATTTTATTTATTGATTAATTTATTATTTTATTTATTGATCAATCTCTCTGTGGGGTGGGGTGGGGGAGGGACGGGGGCTGGTTGGGGTGGCTTAGCAGATCCGGACAGAGAAGGCCATCTGTCCTTGTGTCCCCAACTCCTCCTTCCCAGGCCCCCCCTTCCCCGGTTCTCCCCCTTCCCTCACAACCTTCTGTACGGATTTGCTCTCCGGAAGGAATTCTGGTTTCGCGTGACCCTGCCTGCGTCCGTGTCTCTGATTCCGCCGGCGGCAAAAAAAAAAAAAAAAAATTAATAATAATAATAATAAATAGCCTTGAGCAGGGATGGCTGGCTGGCCTTGAGCTCTCACTTCCTGGGTGGCCCTGATGGCAGCACGGAGGGAGGGGGCCCAGACCTCGTCACTCGGGCTACTGTTCACAGGTGGATCTGCAGGGAGGTGGGGGAGGCTGGCGGGGAGCTGAGGTGGCCCGGCTGGAGGTGCAGGGTGCAGCCGTCCAGGCAGGAAAAGTCCACCGCAACCAGGCCAAAGAGTGCAAACAGCAGCATGGCGATGGCCCACTCGCAGGCGGCCGAGGCCGAGCGCAGCGGCCAGAAGTGGAGGATCATCACTTTAGAGCAAGGTCAAGGGCCACGCGCAGCAGGAAGGATCCGGGAGCCCAGCCGGATCACCAGGGCCAGGCGCCCTCTCATGACGCAGCGGCCCCGCCCTGGCCGGGATGCGTCTGGCAGGCCACCCACCTCTGCGGCTCCCAGACACGTTAGCGCAGATGCCCTCCTCCCTGGCTAAGACTGTTTCGCACACGTTCGTCCTGCTCAGACTCGCCCTCCGGGTGCCCCTGAAATCCTTTTCACCTGCGAGCCCACACTCACTCCAAGCTCAAACTAGCAGAGAGGCCCTCCGCTTTCTGAGATCCCTGCCGGCAACAGCCTTCCTGCTTCTCGGCCAAGCCAGCGCCCACTCCCTCCTAGATCAGTTCAGACACTATTTCATTCATCCAAGGATTTTTAGGCAGTCCCTAAGGTGACATCACCCCTGATCCCATGAATCCTAGAGCAAAGGAGAGGTGAGAGCACCCACACAAGGGGGTTACCCCCAGAATTGGCTTTGGTCCTCCCCCAGTCCTAAGCTTCCCATGGCTCCCTACGGCCCCCAGGAAGAAACCGGTCTCCCGGTAGGCTCTTCTGCGCACCAGCAGCCTTCTGGCCTCCCCTCTGTTCTCCCCAAGAGGAGATGGGTCCCTAACGCTACGTTTGTAGCCTCTCCTCTCTCAGGGCACTTTGCCAGTAACAACCATTATTACGATCAAAACAACTCCGCTTGACAGATACGGAAACTGAAGCACAGTGATTTGAGTCACCCAGAGGCACGCTAGGTTGGCAACGAGCATCTGGGCTCCCGTGACTCAGAACTGGGCTCGGTAGGACCTTCAGCCAGTGCCAGGCATGCTGGTGAACGGTTAACGACCAGCCGCGATTCGCTGCCGTGGCCAGTTTCCGGGCTGTGAACACTCCCACCCAGGCCGCGGGAGCTGCTAGCAGGACAGAACCAAACGAGGAGCGGGGCCTGCGCGAGCTGCCTCCTTGCCATCCCCACCAGCGCCACCGCTGGACTCCGCGACACGTCCTGGCCAAGAGACTCCCCCTCTCCGAACCTCAGTTTCCGGTCTTCAACATGATGCCCGCCCGGGGCGGGGCAGGTACCCCGAACGCACTGCCGCCGCCGGCTTGCCGTCCCCCCAGTATTTCTTGGTGGCTCACTGCACTGGTCACCGAGCTAAGCACCTCACGTGCGTTACTCCCTTCGTTCCATCCACCTCTGGGGGCGGCCTTGTTATCATCCACACTGGAGAGCTGCAGGAGCTGAGACACTGAGTTCAGCCCGTGGAGTCCCTCCCCCACCAACACCCGGCTAGCACGCAGGGGAGGTGGCCTTCAGCCCAGGGTGCCCGTCCCCGAGGCTGACCCTTCCGGGGATGCTGTCATCCCCAGAAGACTGAGGCCGAGAACAGACTGCATAGAGCAAAACCACCCCAGTGGAGGACCGTCCCCCCGCCCCAACCCCTGCCCCCGGCCCCAGGAAGGATACTGGTCACCAAGAGGATGGTGCAGAGGCTGCAGAGGCCCAGACGGAGTGGCCCGATCCAGGGGGCCCCGGGCTGGGGCAGTCTCTTCGTGCACCAGACAAGAATAAGCTGCAGCCAAAAGTAGGAGTTGCCCATGAATAAGGCGAAGAAGGCCCCGACCAGGTGCATCTGCAGCTGGTTCTTTTGCTGGGAAGAAAAGGGACAAGAATTGAAAGGAAGGTAGGTACGCACAGGGGGGGGTGAGAACATGAGGACTGGGATGGGGGGGGGGGGGTCTTTGACCCACCCAGCGGACTGGTGTGGCCTCACTCCAGAATACGGAGCCTGGCACATTGTAGGCGCTCGGGAAATATTAGTGCAATAAAATCTCTCGTTCTCAGCTGGGGTGGTGGAGGGCTGATATCGCCACCCAGGGGCTGAAAAATTGGTTTTGGAAGTTCTTAAAGATTGCAATGGTTTGTGGCTTGCAGATACATAGTGTATGTCATTTAATATTTTCTAAATATTAAAAGTTTAATGAGGGGAAACGATGACCAGCGGGAAATGTCTTTAGAAGGCTCCTTATGGGAGCAATATAATAATTTTAAGAAGAGGGGCGCCTGCGTGACTCAGCCGGTTGGTTGAGTCCGCCTTTGGCGGAGATCATGGTCTCAGGGTCCCAGGATGAAGTGCTGCCATCAGGCTCCCCGCTCAGCAGGGAGTCTGCTTCTCCTTCTACCCCTCCCCCTTGCCCATGATCTCGCTCTCAAAAAGATAAAAATCTTTAAAAAAATTTTTTTTAAGAAGTTAAAGTTGAGGAGCCCAGGAATAAACGATGGGTGATGGGGAACGATGGGTGATGGGGAGCGATGAGTTATGGGGAATTTTTCTTAGCAAGCGGAAGGCAGTCTCTTAGCCCGTGGTATTTTCATCAGGAGCAGTTAGGAGTCAGAGGCGCCACGGAAAAATTAAATATCAATATACAATTATCAACAGACTCCCTCCAATCATTGTCCCTTCTTTTGTTCTACAAATATCTACTGAACCTCAAGGTGAACAGTGCAAGTTCTAGAGTCTGCATCTGGGTTCATTTCTGACCACCACGAACCAGCTGATTAATACAAAAACAAAAACAAAAAATAAAAAAACCCTCTGTCGGATTTGACCGAAAGGGTCTGTCTAGGGCTGTTAAGGAGACGTATGAAAACCCACACAGGGTAAGGCCTAGCGCCCCGCACGGAGTGAACGCTCCATCTAAGTGGCGAGAACGAGCGGCTCTGAGTAATTTCGTTATTAAAAGGGCAAAGGGGTAAGGGACGGCAGTAAATTGCCCCAGTCTTCTGGGGTTCCGTGAATAATTACACCAAGGCCTCCCACGGGGGCCTCGGTTCAGACCGCAGAGGAGCTCACCTCCCTCCCTGGCCCAAGGACCCCCAAGAGAAATACAAGTCCCAGAAGGCCGTGCGCGGACGAGCCCCCACAATGAGAAGCCAGCGGCCCCGGGGGCTGCTGGGAGCTGTAGTCCCGGACTCGTCTCGTCGGCCGCCTGGCTGCGTCCCACGAGCCGATGCCTTCTCACCTGGAAGTTGCCCACCACGGAGGTGCCCAGGGCACACAGGAGCCCCGTCCACAGGATCAGCCGGTTAAACCATTTTCTGACTCCCCAGTCCCGGAGCTGGTGGTAACGGATAATGCAGATCCAGGCGGCTGGGAGGAGAGGGAAGTGGGCGGGCAAGCCGGCCCGGACTCCTGGGGAGGGGGTGCGGAGAGACTGGGCATCTAGGGGTGGGGGCCTAACTCCCACATCTGGAGGAGGGGGGGCTGGACCCCTGGGGCCGGGGCCGGGGCGCGGCCCCCTTGGCTGGGGTGGGGTGGGAGTAGGGGCGGGGGGGGGGGGGGGAGGGGGGGGGTGGGGTTCTCCCCAGAACAGGAAGGGCCGAGGATATTTACCCATAGCAGCTCCCATGTTGAGCAGCTGGCTGAAGATGCAGCTCTGAGGGGGGTAAGACCCGCAGAGGCTGGGGGAAAGGAAGGATCATCCTGTGGCTCCTCGGAGCCAGGCCCCCTCTTCTCCCTCGGAACCCCCGCCCCGCCAGCACCATAACTACCTGATATAGGGGAAACCTTCCGTGAGGTTCACAGACCTGTTGGTCACGGCAAGGGCAAAACTGAAGTACAGGGAGACACCAAAGTGGGTTTTAACGACAGCTTTTCCTTTTGTTACCCACAGAAACAAGGACTTCTAACTCCCCCCACTTCAGACCCAGGAGTCCAGGCCCCCAGCCCCTCCTCCCTCAGACCCAG